TAGATGAATGGATCAAGAGATTGTGGTGTACATGTGTGTGTGTGTGTGTGTGTGTGTGTGTGTGTGTGTGTGTGTATGTATATATATATATATATATATATATATATATATATTCAATGGAATTCCACTCTCCATTAGACAGAGTGATATCACATCATTTGCAGAGAAATGGAAGGACCTGGGAAAAATTATGTTAAGTGAAGGGAGTCAGCCCCAAAGAGGCAAAAGTTACACATTTTCTCTCACATGTGGAAGTTAGAACAAGTTTCTAAATATATGATAAATACCTTGGGGTGGTAGGCAAGTGTATACAAATGTATTCACTGAAATAGGGTAGATTCAAGTGGGGGAACTCAGTGTCATTCTTTAGGTAAATTAATTAAAATCTATCTAAATTTATCTTTATTAAAATTCTTTAATAAAATAAGCACCAGGAAATGGGTACCTGAAAGGGTTGGGTGAGATTAGCAGCGGGGGGGAGGGAGGGAGATAGACAAATGAAGAGAATAAATGGGGAGAATGCAGTAAAAAAGTCAGTGTAGCCCACAAAATTAAGAAAGTGAGGAAGGGGTGGTTAAGGAGGTGAGATGAGAATGTTGAAGGGGTAAGGCTGATCATGACACATCGTATTCATCCACTGCTTTGTTGAATGACAACTCCTTGGTCCAACTATGTACAGATAACAAATTAAACAAAAGACGTTTATACTGACATATATTAAAGCTTCACACAATTGCTAAAAAGAAGATAAAAGACATGGATCTGCTATCTGCTATTAACAGCGTTCAGCCCATAGTTTGGAAATATGAAATTCTGTGTAGCTCACTTCAAAATAACAAAGTTTGTTGCCATTCTGGTTAGGCAGCCCTTCATTAGGGACTGGAAAGTTACCTGTTGTCAGTATTTGATAATGACATTAACAAAAAATGGAAAAAGTACTTTGCCTTTAGGACTCACCTCTATTGTCCCTTAGACTTAAATTTTAGCTACTTAAGAGTAGCCTGTATTGGAATCAGATTGTCTAGTAGAGCTGCCAGCACTGAATTAATGAAATAGTGAATTAATGAAATAGCTAACCATCAACATGCAAATGGATTCACTCCTGTTCGTAATAGATTGACAACTGGGACTAATAATCTCTAAATAAATCTCTAAATATACATAATAATAAGAATTATTATTAACTATTAATAATCTCTCTCTATATATGTATATAGTCTGATCTAAAACTTCCACCAACTTGATTCCTAAAAATAATTAAATTCAGAAAAATTCAGGAAGACATTACACAGAAATACTGTTTACAATGGTAAAAATTGAGCAGTAATATTATTTTATGATATAATATTAAGTAAGAAACACAAAATTCAAAAAGCAGGTTTGTCTAGTTGCTTTACCTCACGAGAATAGCATTGAGCTTCAGAGAAAATGAACGGCAATTATATCAACTGGACCAAAATGTGGAAGGGGAAAGACTGGATGTGAATAACCAATGCAGGAATTAAATACTCTCTGAATAATGAAAATGGATTGTGTGTGTGTGTGTGTGTGTGTGTGTGTGTGTGTGTGTGTGTGTGTGTGTGTGTTCCTGTACTGGGGCTTGAACTCAGGGTTGGGTGCTGTCCCTGATCTCTTTTGCTCAAGGCTAGCACTCTACTATTTGAGCCACAGATCACTTCTGGCTTTTTGTGATTAATTGGAGATTAAGAGTCTCAGGAACTTTCCTGCCTGGGCTAGATTTGAGCCATAATGCTCAGATCCCAGCCTCCTGAGCAGCTAGGATTACAGGCATGAGTCACCAGCACCTGGCTGAAAATGCATGGTTTTTTGGGTCACATTTTAAAAATTATGAACATGTCTTCTTTTTACCCTGGAGAAACAAAAGACAAGCTGAGGCCGTAGTGCATAGGCTGGGTAAACCACAGTGACACACAGCCCATGTTTCTGTCATATCTTTCAGGTGACCCCGAGCCCCTGGAGCAACAGAAGCAGCAGATCACCAATGAGGAAAGCACAGAGCTGTTCTCCTACAAGGGCAATGACGTCGAGTATTTCATGTCCTCGAGTTCTCCATCTGGCCTATACCAGTTGGAGCTTCTTTCAACAGAGAAGGACACACATTTCAAGGTATATGCCACGACCACTCCTGCATCTGACCAGCCATACCCCGAATTACCCTATGACCCCAGAGTCGATGTGACTTCTCTGGGCCGCACCACAGTGACTTTGGCTTGGAAGCCGAGCCCCACAGCCTCTCTGCTGAAACAACCCATCCAGTACTGTGTGCTCATCAACAAAGAACATAATTTCAAGAGTCTCTGTGCTGTGGAAGCCAAACTGAGTGCGGACGATGCATTCATGGTAGCACCCAAGCCTGGTCTGGATTTCAGCCCCTTTGACTTTGCCCATTTTGGATTTCCTTCCAATCCTCTGGGTAAAGAACGCAACTACCTTGCAAAACCATCTCCAAAACTTGGCCGCCATGTCTACACAAGGCCCAGGGCGGACATTCAGAAAATCTGTATAGGAAACAAGAACATCTTCACCGTCTCAGACCTGAAACCAGACACTCAATACTACTTTGACGTGTTTGTGGTCAACAACAGCAGCAACACTAGCACAGCCTACGTAGGGACCTTTGCCAGGACCAAGCAAGAAGCAAAGCAGAAGACTGTAGAGCTGAAAGATGGCAAAATTACTGATGTGTTTGTGAAGAGGAAGGGAGCAAAATTTCTACGGTTTGCTCCAGTCTCTTCTCATCAGAAAGTCACCATCTTCATCCACTCCTGTCTGGATGCTATCCAACTGCAAGTGAGAAGAGATGGGAAACTTCTCCTGTCTCAGAGCGTAGAAGGCGTTCGGCGGTTTCAGCTGAGAGGAAAACCCAAGGCAAAATATGTCATCCGTCTGAAAGGAAACAAGAAAGGAGCGTCCATGTTGAAGATCTTAGCCACCAGCAGGCCCAGCAAGCAAGCATTTCCATCCCTTCCTGAGGACATGAGAATCAAGACCTTCGACAAGCTTCGCACCTGTTCTTCAGCCACGATAGCTTGGCTAGGCACCCAGGAGAGGAACAAGTTTTGCATCTATAAAAAAGAAGTCAATGAACATTACAACGAAGAGCAGAAGAGAAGAGAGCAAAACCAGTGCCTCAGCCCAGCGACGAGGAAGAAATCGGAAAAGGTCCTCTGTAAATATTTCCATAGTCAAAACCTGCAGAAAGCAGTGACCACTGAAACCATTCGAGGCCTCCAGCCAGGCACAGCTTACCTGCTGGATGTTTATGTGATCGGTCATGGTGGGCACTCTGTTAAATACCAGAGCAAAGTGGTGAAAACAAGGAAGAGCTGTTAGTTGTCTCCCACAGAGGGATGTGAGGTAGAACTCTAGGAAGGAGGTTGTATCACTTGATCTAGAAACTGACTGTACATGGAAAGAAGCATGTCAACCTGTGGAAACTGACACTGATTGTAACTCATGTTCTGGGGTATCCAGTGGTACCTACATGCATTCCAATCCAGAGGACATCTTAAAGGAACAGTCACCTCCTACCCCCACCCCCCTGCCCACTGCATGAACCACTTCTAAATTATTTTATTACCTGAAAGTTTTAAAAGATAATGCCACTCATTGCCCTCACTCCTGCAAAAGAAATCATTTCTCTCTATAGATGCTAGTGGATATATAAATTATTTTATAAAGTCTCGTTTTAAATGTCAGTGTGTCTATGATTGTAAACTATTCAATTCTTTCCTGTCCAAGTACAGATGGAATCTAAGTATTATTAAGTGGACAGCCCTCTAGTCAGTTATATTGCTATTGTAAATTCTCATTTGTTAAGTAAAATGTTGAAATTCTATATGTATCTCCTGTACAAAGTGGACATACATTATATTCGTGTACATATAATTAAAGATATTAGATTCTCTACTGTTCATTTTCCCAAGCAGCTAACCTTGTGTGTTCAGTTTCCAATCTTTCCCTAAAACTGCACCTTTCTGTAATTTGGCACCAACATGATCTCCTTTGAACAGATAAGAGGACACTACGTTTCTCTACAGAGACTGTGGCATCAGAAGCAGCTTATTATAATGTGTATTTTGATAGTTAAAAGGAGCCAAGCATTGTTTGGGATGAGCGCTACTGCAGACTTGTTTTAGAAGAAGACATGACAAATGTTCCCTCAGCAACCAATGAATTGTCCTAAAGTATATCAGATTTTAAACATTTGCTTTAGGTTGCAAAATTGAGGTACTCCCAAGTATTTTTAGTCTGCTTGAATATATATTGAATATGTAATATAGTAAATATATATTGACTATATTATATCATATGTATGATATATATATCATACATATATATCTATATCATACATATATATCTATATCATACATATATATCTATATCATACATATATATCATACATATATATCATACATATATGTGTGTGTGTATATATATATATATATATATATATATATATCATCAAGTCTTGAGGCTTGAACTGAGGACCTGGGCACTGTCCCTGAGCTTTTTTGCTCAAAGTTAATACTCTATCACTTGAGCCACAGCTCCACTTTCAGATTTTTTGGTGGTTAATTGGAAATAAGAGTTTCATAGACTTCCCTGACTGAGTTAGCTTCAAACCGTGATCCTCAGATCTCAGCCTCCTGAAAATCTAGGATGACAGGTGTGAGCCACAAGCACCCGGCTTGAATATTATTTTAACCTCTACTTCAAGCAACTTATCAAACACCAAAATAGACTCTAGTTAGGAAGAAGATGACTTTGAAAGATGCTCTTCCTAACATTGACAGGTTGCTGCCTTTAACCACGATTTTTTCCAGTAGTTTTCCCCCCACACACCAGAAAAAAAATGTGCCCGCAGTGATTTAGGCAGATATAATAACTGAAGAGCCTACACAATAGCCGCTTGGGATGGTTTCATTCTCCAGAGATTCAGTCTGTAAATTGTGAGAACACAAGTCCCAAGATTCAGAAAAGCTTGGAATTTCCTAATCATTTAAAAACAATATGGCTTTAGGAAAAGCTGTTTCTTCATATCTTTTCTGATTTATAAAATTGGGTGGGGGTATATTTGAAGAAGATGGCATAGTTAGAGACCAAAGTAAGACCCCAGTGCTTTTCTTTAGTATGATTCGATGACTTAACATTGTTCTGTACGTAAAAGTGAGGACAGCAGTGATCTCTCCTCATTGTCCTCTGTGTGTTGGCACTCAGGGGCTAACCTTGTGCAGTGTGAGACTGTCTACCACTGAGGGAGTAGAAGGGGGAATCCTACAGAAATGGGGTGTGCTCATCTTAGGAGAAAATATACCCTTCCTCAGTATTAATTGGTCCAGCCAACAATGACTATACCTGTACACAGGAATGACACCCCCCAAGAAAATTTTAGAATGAAAAGAACACATATATGCAGTGACCATGTAAACAATCACCTTGGAAGCACACAAAATAAGTGGATATCGCAGATACTCATAGTCTATGTTATGAATGTGGGCCTTAGAGCCCCAACTTTCTCACATTACCTGCATATATATTATTCAGGGCAGTGTGTTAAATAGTGAATCGAAAAGTTACTGTTGGTTATGCTGGCTCATACCTGTCATCCTAGTAACTCAGGAGGCTGAGATCTGAGGATCATGGTTTGAAGCCAGCCAGGGCAAAAAATGTCTGTGAGATTCTTATCTCCTATTCATTTCCAGAAAACCAAGAGCGGAGCTGTGGCTCAAGTAGCAGAGTGCTAGCCTTGAGTAAAAAAAAGCTCAACAGCCCCCCCCCACCACCAGGGCCTGAGTTCAAGCCCCCGGACTGGCATGCACATGCACATGTGCACACACACAAAGGAGTAAAAAGTTAACAGCTGTTTCTGGAGGTAATGGATTTAACTCTCAGATATTGTTTAATGCCCAGGAACCTGGGAAACAGGCCAAACCTTTTGACTTTTCATCCAGCTGTGATGGTGGTTTCTACAGATTCTAGGTATATGCAGAAATCTTTTCATGGCCCCGGTGAAATTTGCCTTTTTACTTGAAATTATAGACAAATGAAAGATACACTGTAAAACGCCTATTATTCATCAATAAGGGGGAGACCTATTAAAGTGAAGTGCCCATATTTACTAATATTAGACTTTAAGAGACCTGAGGGAGCTAGGGTCAAGAAAAAAAAAAAACCTTGCTGGGTGTCAGTGGCTCACGCCTGTAATCCTAGCTACTCAGGAGACTGAGATCTGAGTATCCTGGCTCAAAACCAGCCCAGGCAGAAAACTTTGTGAGACTCTTATCTCCAATTAACCACCAGAAAACTGGAAGTGGCGCTGTGGCTCAAGTGGTAGAGCTCTCACCTTGAGCTGAAGAGCTTTGGGACAGCACCCAGGCCCAGAGTTCAAACCCCCCAAAAAAGAAAACCCTCCCAAAAAAGAAAAAAAAACTTTGTTCTTCATTAACAAAAGAACCAAAAGCCAGCTAAGAAAACAGGTGGCTCAGATCTTTAATCCTAGTTACTTAGGAGGCTGAGTTCTTAGGATCACAGTTCAAGGCCAGTCGAGGCAGGAAAGTCTGTGAGACTCTTATCTCCAATTAACCACTAAAAAGCTGGAAATAGAGCTGTAGCCCAAGGGTCAGATCACTAGCCAGGAGCACCCAGACCCTGAGATCAAACCCCAAGGACCAGCACAAAAATAAATAAGAGTAAAAGCATGTCTTATCTACATTAAGCTCCAGGAGAGCTATGGTATGGCAGACATTTGTAATCCCTGAGTACAATCATGACATTTAGGGCTGAAGAATCTTTAGGACATTTAGTTCTCCTTTGGTTAACTTTATTTTTCAGGTACCAAATAAGAAATTCGAGACGAGAGACATAAGGATAAATTAAGAAAAGTTCTTAAAGTCAAAATAGCCAAGCAGTGGTACTCTCCAGATTCCAAAATTCTAGCCAGATCATTAAACACCAATTCTTGCTGTAGAAAAAAAATATTCTCAAATAGACACAGCCTATTTTTCTTACTTTGGATTTCCAAACAGCTTATTTTTTTTTCAAGACCATTTCAGAGTTTCTTAAGAACTATGTGTTATCTATAATTGACCACTCTAAATGTGCAAGGAAAAGATTATGGTGATTTTGTGAACTTTAGAGATACAAAGATTTCTAAATTAGACATGCATGCTCCAAATCTTGAGGTTTTAAGATTGTGAATGACTCAAGCCTATCCTTCTAGTCCCTCAGGAAGCTGAGATCTGAGGATGCTGGTTCAAAATCAGCCTGGGAAGATAGTCCAAGAGACTCTTAACTCTAATAAATCAGCAAAAAGCCACAAGTGGAAGTATGGCTCAAGTGGTAGCCAGCCTAGCAATAAAGTCAAGCAAAAACTCAAATGTTCTGAGTTCAGGCCTCAGAGCAGCACACACAAAATAAGATCATTGGTCTATAGCTTTAATGATGAACCCTGTTACTTGGATGCAAAATTATTCAGAAGCTATACAAATCATAGCACACTATTTTCTTGCTTAAATCACTTCATAGTTGATATCCAGATCCATTCTTTAAATGTGTATGCAAAGATTAGTGGAGAAAAAGACATACATACTAACATTTTTGTTACTCATACACATGTGTATATATGTATATGTGTGTATATACATACATCTATGTGTATATGTATATATGTATATGCATGTATATACACATATATGTATATGTGTGTATATATGTATGTATGTATGTATGTATGTATGTATAGATAGATAGATAGATAGATAGATAGATAGATAGATAGATAGATAGATAGATAGATAGATAGTTTGTGCTGGCCCTGGAGCTTGAACTCACAGTCTGGGCACTGTCCCTGAGCTGCTTTTGGCTCATGGCTAGTGCTCTGCCATTGAGCAACAGCTCCACTTCCAGCTTTTTTCTCTGAGTAGTTTATTCGAGTTAAGAGTATCACAGACTTTCCTGCCCAGGCTGGCTTCAAACTGCCATCCTCAGATCTCTGCCTCCTGAGTAGCTAGGATTATAGGCATAAGCCACCAGCACCTGGCATCATAACATTTTTAAAGTTATAATTTTGGTATTAGGAATAGTCTAAAGTCTAAAACACATTCATACACTTGAGTTTTAGAGTTTAAGAAAGTCTTAATGATTCTTAATGTTTTTGGGAGGATGGCAGACCCCCAGGGAAACACACACACACACACACACACACATGTGCGCACGCACACACACACACCTTTAACATACATTTCAAGAGACGTGATGAACACCAAAGCAAGCTGAGTCCCTTTCAGTACTTCACGAACTCTTCTAGAGCCCCAAGCTCTACTATCTAACTCCATATAGGTAGAATGGAAGGTGAGTTAAAACCTGAATTCAGATTCCTTTGCTCCCAGTTGAACATTCACACAGGACTTGGTTTCAAGTGTGTCTTCATTTTGGAGAGCCACAACTCATCGAGGGGTCCCATCTATGTCTCTGTGGGATGGCTATAAAACAAAACCAGAATAGGACACGATGTCTCTCTTATCACTTGGGAGCTCACTTGGGAACTTCTTCCTTCCCCCACTGTCCTATGGTGCGGCAGATACAAAATCAACTGCAAACTTGCCTCTTGCTTCTCTCCCAACACCAAGCAGAGTGACTGCCACCCTTCACCTGTCTCTGTCATTGTCAAAAGAATCTTGAGTTATCACCATTGAATTTTCCCCAAACAATTTTGGCTAGTAAAATACACAGTAATGTGGACTTTAGCCCTTGTGGTAGTTCAAAGGCTGAGAAGCAGAGAGAATGGTTTTCTCTAAGAAATTACTTCTGAGAAGAAGTTAGAGGTATAGTACAAGCCCTGATTTGATTCAGGGTTTGAATTCTATCCTACATACAATTCATGCTGGAAACTTCCTCCCCAGTCATCATCTTCTATTTAGCTGTCA